TAACATGGTCACCAGGTACTGAACTCTGAGACCAGTCAGCTTCAGTATGAAAAATGATTTACCTTAGAGGCCAGTGGTATATTTTACAGATTCTAACTAGCCCAAGTGGACCAAAGAAGTAAAATGTTTTCCCTTCAACAGAGACAGGTTTGTAAGTGGTTTTATGAAGAATTAGGAGAACCTCTACTATCTGGGAAGGTATCGTCAATCTGGGAGTCTGTTTCTTCTCAGAAATAGCTATTAAATAAAAAAATTGGAACTCAACCCAGGTGTTAAAGGCAAAGAGTCATGAGAAAGGCATCTTAAAACAACAAGCTTCTGGATTTCTAGAGCTATTACTAAGGGGAGAATTCACATTTAGTTTGATTGGGAGGTGTGCTAACAAGATATAGATGAATTATTCCAAGGATATCCTGGAATGTGATCAGTATCTTGGAGATGAGACCCAGAGAATGGAAAGCATATTAGTGACTAAGGATACCAAGGCTGATTTAAGGATGAGAGCCTAGGGTGGATCTGAGAAGACTTTTAGCTTTTAGACTAAAAGACTTTTTGGCTTTTAGCTGTATTTCAAAGCAGAGTTCTACTACCTGAGTCTCACAATTGTTAAAGAGGAATTCTCCCTTCTTCAGGACTATGGCATAGTGACATAGCTTTAAGGCCTAACCCTGGTCAATCTAGGGTGGTAGCATTTGCTTCCATTAGATGGACTGCTGAAACTCAAAAATTCACCTCTGTGGTTCTGGATCACTCCTCCATGACACTCAGCAGGCATTCAGTAATGTTTTTTATACCATGCAGTATTATTCAGCAATAAAAAAATATGAAGTACTGATACATTCTACAACATAGATAAATCCTAAATTATGCTAAGTGAAAGAAGTTAGCCACAGAGGACCACATATTGTAGGATTCTACTCACATGAAATGTCCAGAATAGGCAAATCTATAGAGACAGAAAATAGATTAATGGTAGCCTAGGGTTGGGAGGTTTGTGGGGGATGGGTGGTGCTAGGGGTACAGGATTTCTTTCGGAGCAATAAAAATGTTCTAAAATTGACTGCATCATGGAAGCACAGCTCTGTGAATCAAAAAAAGGTCACTGAATTATACATTTTAAATGGGTGAATTGTTTTGAATCCTCTCTAACATCAAAATCTATGTTCTGCCACAGAGTAGATTTTGCAATATATATACCTGACAGAGCGCCTGTATCAAGAGTTTATTAAAAACTCCAAAAAAGCAGTAAGAAAAAAATGTACAGCCCAATAGAAAAATGAGCAACAGACTTGAACAGACAATTCACAAAAGAAACTATCCACTGATCCAAAAAGCATCTAAAAGGGTATTCAACCTCATTAGTCATCAAGGAAATGCAAATTAAAAGATAACATTACACACCTACCAGAATGTCTAAAATTAGAGTAATAACAGCAAATCTGTCAAGGTTGTGGAGTAACATGAATTTTCATTCTCTCTTGGTGAAAAGCATACAGTGGTACAACTATTTGGAAAACTGCTGGGCAGTATCTACTAAAACTCAGAATACACACTCTACAATTCCACTCCTAATAGAAACGAGAATGAACACACACACACACACACACACACACACACACACACACACCCCAAAAGACATGTACAAAAATGTTCATAGCAGCATTATTTGTAACACCCAAAGCTGGAAACAGCCTAAATGTTCACCAACAGTAGAAGAGATAAATAAATTGCATTATAATCATATAATAGAAGAATAAATGGCAATGAAAATGAAGAAACTACAGCTAACATGCAGCAACATGAATCTCACAACATAAATTTGCAATAAATAAGCCAGACTATATGATTCCACTTATATAAAGTTCAAAAACAGGCAACACTAATCTATTGTATTTGAAACTACACTGCAGGTTACCTTTGGGAAAGAGGAAGGGAAAAGTGACTGGAAAGGAGCCCAAAGGGGCCTTCTGGAGGCACTGATAAAATCTTGACCTGGGTGATGATTATATGCGTGTGTTCACTTTGTAATTCACTGAGCTGCACACTTAATGATTTGTGCAGTTTCTGTAAGCATGTTATACTTCAACATCAAGTTCATTATCTAAAAAAATGCCATGGTCTTAATCTCTGCATCATAGCTGCCCATCAGCAGTATTTAATGGATAAATATAGCTAAAAGAGGCAGTAAAAATATTAAACGTATTACAAAAAAAAATTACTGCATTGTGAATGCAAAATTACTTGCTTTTTTAACTCAACTACTTCCATTTTTTAATAATTTATTTTACTTTTTGTTGTTGCTGAGAATATACACAGCAAAATACACACCAATTCAACAGTTTCTACATGTACAATTCAGCGACAGTAATTGCATTTTTCGAGTTGTGCAACCACTCTCACTCTGCTTTTCTGAGTCGTTCTTCCCCCATTAACATAAACTCACTGTCCCCTAAGGTTCCTAGCTAATCTTTCGAGTTGCTGTTGTCAATCTGATCCTGATAGATCTTAAGAGCGTAATGCTCAAGACAGATATTCTTTATTAGTTAAGCTAAACTATTCTTTGGTTTTAAGAAGACTTCAGGGGATATTTTTGGTTTAAGGTTTAAAGCTCATCTCAGGGCAATAGTGTCAGGGGTTCAACCAGCCTCCACGGCTCCAGAAAGTCAGGAGTCCATGAGAATTTAAAATTCTGTTCTGCATTTCCCCCCTTTTGATCAGGATTCTTTTATGAATCTTTGGTCTAAACGTTCAGTAATGGTAGCCAGGCATCGTCTAGTTCTTCTGGTCTCATGGCAAAGGAGGAAGTTGTTCATGGAGACAATCAGCCACATATTCCATATCCTCCTTCTATTCCTGACTCTCCTTCTTCCTCTGTTGCTCCTGGCGAATAGAGACCAACTGTTGTGACTTGGATAGCCACCTGCAAGCTTATAAGACCCCAGGCACCATGCAACGAACTAGGAGGTAGAACAGAAGCACTAAACACATTATTAGGCCAATTAACTGGGATGTCCCATGAAACCATGACCCTAAACCTCCAAACCAAGGAACCAAATCCCATGAGATGTTTGGTTGAACATAAGCAACCTCAGCAGGTACTCTTTTTTTCTTCCCCTTTCATTTTTTCTTATACATCTAAAACTTAAAGCAGAAAATAAGATAACATTTTAAAAAGACACAAAAGGAAATAAAAATTGTTACACTATAGTTGAGGATACAGCATTTTTTCCTTATTGATACATTTTTTCCTTATTCCTCGCCTCTATCATTTCTTCCCTCCCATATTTTCTTATCTTCCACAATTCTTCACTACTTTCATTTCCACGTCCTCCAAGATCTTTACCTAGGTAACTGGAGATTAAGAAACAAGAGCACATTGGGAAGCTTCCTGGGTCAGCTTAGGACAAATGCAGTTCTCTTTCATATCTCTTATTTTCTCTTCCTCTTGTCCTCAAATGTCATATTTTTTTTCTCACATTTCTCTCTGTTCTCTATTTCCATTCCGCTTCCTAATTATACCCCCAGAGTCTACCTGAAGCACACATAATAGTAAACGGTGAGCAATCAATACTTCTCCTCATAAAATTATGTTTTCTCTATATAAAAAGGATTAAAGCTACAAACACTGTGTTTTAGGTAAGGCTATACAGACAGAAATATAACTGGCAGCTTTTCCTATGACAAATGCAAAAGAACTGATGCTTTTGCCTATCTTTGTGATTCTCCACACTCCAATATTCGTCATTGATTTTCAACCCTTTTTCTGGCCCCAAACACCTGAGGGATATGACATGTTCATCTGTAACGGTAGCTAAGGTGTGATTCTCAACTGAAAATGAGGAAGAGGCAGGGTCTAAAGAAAGACTGGAGGGGCAGGGGATAAAAGATAATTTTGAAAAAGCCTGATGCAGACCTTGTGGATTTTTTACTCAAAAACCTCTACTACAGACGCTAGAACATTAACAGGAAACTTCCACCTTCCCCTGCAGCTAGGGGATAGCCATGTGATATAGTCTGTCAGTAAGATATACACCAAAATTCTTGAGAAGGGCTTCCTTCCCAAATAAAAAGCCAAAGCCTCACTAGGAGAAAGTACTATGCTCTAATCTATTCCTCCTGCCTGGACTACTAAGGATTCAGGTGCAAAATAGTGCCCAGAGGAACTGATCTTCAGCTCTGCTACTGCTGCCACCCCCAGCACTCCATACACAATATCCTAAATAAGAGTGCAAGCAGAGTTTGGCTTCTTAGGCAAACCTGTATTCAAAGCTGGCCACTATCTGGTCACAGCCCAGTAATTCAGTTTATTACTTTTCAATACTGGAAAGTTGGTTTATTACTAGACCTAAAAAGTCAGACAGTAGGAGCCACAAGAAAAGCCTGAATTAACTAATATCTGCTTTGAAAGCTAAGAAACTTAACCTATTTCATGTTAAGTGTTACTATATATAAGATTTTTAAAAACATAACTGCACTCAGTCTCCATGGAGGATACATAAGATCAAACACTGCAATGGGAGGGACTGGGACTAGAAAAATCTCCTGAAAGTAATGATTATGAAGCATTAACAATTATAACCATGAATTACTAAGGAAGGCTGTAGGATATTCTTCAAAAAAAGTTTTGAAAATATGGCATCAGTTGGTTTACGGTATTCCACTGTAAAGATAGGAGTTGGAACAGAGCAGTGCTTTGATATCATTTGCATTCTATATTAGCAAATTTCTACCTGAACATAGTTTCAGATTTGTTAGCGAGCTAAAGAATGTTATGCAACATCATTGTGTAATAAAACCTCACAAAAAATCATTAAAAAGAAGCTTACTGACCAACCTGAGGAAAAATGTAAATGAAGTGTCCATAAAGATGTAAGTCAACAGTATCACATCTCTAAGATCATCCAACAATGTACCTCTAAAAATATCACTTTCTCCAGACCTACCTATTTAAAAAAAAAATCAACTGCTATCAAATAATGACTTCAAAATTCTGTTCTTACCTTTTTTTTCTCCAGTGTAGGGCACATAGTCTTCCCTGTCCTTATGCTCCAATGCTTCCTTCTCTAGATATGAAAGGAGGTGTTCTCTATCAAATGGCCCCGTGGTGGACTTTGACGTCTGGTTCTTCTGTCGGAATCCTGCAGGCAGAAGGGCATTCTGCCAAAGAGAATGAATCAGTCATTATGACCAGCAAGGACACCAATGCTATATGCTTCCATAAATAATCCATATAAGAAAGAATTAGAGACTAGAATGTGGTATAGGCATTAAACACTTCACCACAGGATTTTAGGGCAACAATGAAAAAAATATTCCAAATCAAAGAAGTTTTTTTTATTAGGAAGAATTAACTTCCATTATTATTAAAATAAGCACATACGCATTTCCTTTAGAAAGCATGCTGCTAGTAGGAAACACCCTTTAGTTTCTAAATTTTCTGGGATGGTAATAAAAAAACAGTTTTCTGAATGCTTAACAACCACTCAATAAAGACATATGTAAAGGGAATAATTTTATTAGAAAAGAATGTTAAATGACTAGATAAATCATATTTCTTCCAGTAACCTTTCTCATAAGTAACACATGTATACCATACATGGGATATCAGAGATTAACGTTTACTTATTTGTGTTTATACATAATGTGAAAGGTTCAACTTTTGTAGGTATGTGTATATACATGCACACTAGCATACAGTTGCAGCAATCACTGTCAATGAGCTACACATGTACCAGGGCACTCTGAGATACTCATAGCAAGTACCCTCTCCCTGGGTTTTCATGTGGGTACCCACCTATTTCAGCACATGGACAGACTGAAGTAATGCTCAGAACAGAAATGTAATTTAAAAAAAAAATTCAAAATACATTCCAGCAGGAAATAAATGTGTTGGGGTAACAAAAACAATTTTATAAGATAAGCTACCTCAATCCTTAAAAGATACTAAAAATTAATGTCTTGGGATAAAGGAACGTGGTAAAGAAAAGAAACCTAGCAAGTAACCATGACCTTCAGGTTAAGCAGCCATTACCATCAGGCTCTACATGCATGCACATACGCACACACGCACGCACACACACACACTCATGCATACCAGGAAATAACAATCCAGACCCCAGTGAGCCAAGGGTCTCTACCTCAGGCTTGTGTAATTTTGAAGACAAACATATCACGTCTGCTCCACAGCAGACTGCAGTATTGCTGAAAGCCCTAGGTTTATTCTACCAATGATCAGAAAATCACTCAGTTTGGTGGTATCTTTCAGAAAGGTAATGATAGGTTTAAAGTCATGAAGGACCTTCTAGAGATGCTCTGTGCTGGAGCCAATCAGGCAAAGAAGCTCTGAAGAGGCCCAGAGGTTGGCATGTATAAAAGAGCTAATCACTTGCTGCATTTTATCAAAAACATACATTCCTGCACGGACAAAAAAGATTTCTTAGAGAAAACCTCAGGAGAAGTCTGAAAATAAGGGTGTTGTAGAAGGTAGTTTAGAACGCTCATATCAATAAAGACATGGAGGAAGAAGTAGAGGAACTGGAGAGGAAGCAAAAAGCAAGTTCAGTTAAAGACAAGGAGAGGGGAGAATGGGACCAGCAAAAAGTTCTGAAAAAGCTAACTGCTAAAGACAGCTTCTTTGTCTCAAAGAATGAAAAGTTATTTCATTTTTCTTTGCTACCCAGAACCTACCTCAGGGTCAAGATCATCGAGAACAGTTTCCAGTTGTTTCAGTTCTGTTTCTGAAAGATTGCCAAGTAGCTCATCTTCATCAAGGTCCTTGTACTTTTCTAAGTCCTTCCGGAACGGCAGTGCCATAATTTGCAGTGTAGGAAGTCACTTAATTTTTGCTATATTCAGTACACTCAGAAGTGACTTCTACTTTTTCTTAAAGCTATTGAGAAAAGAATTTAAAAAATTAAGTCATCTCAACCTACTTAGATCCATTATTAGATTAAATAAAATATAACTTCCATGTTTCATACATTCTTCGATCATTTATCATCCTCTACCTTTGTTTGTGGATCATTCATTGGCTTTACCTTTTGTCCTTTGTTGACAAAAAATAAACCGGGCAAAAAAGGGGGAGGACTAAAATTCAAATCCATTAGAACAGCTACTTGACAGAATTTAGAATTTCTAATAACAGTTTTAGGGGGAAGGTTACAATATGTGCTAAAGTAATATTTTTCCATCGATGACTTTCAATGTATTGCCATCAGAGTACTTTGCCTAAGCACAATATATTTAAGGTATGTTTGTTTTATTGTAAATTGTTTAGGAGAACATTATTTCCAATATTAGCAGAGATATACATGGGGGAGTGGCCTCTTCCCACTGAAAAATATTGTTTTGAAAAGGAGTATTTAAAGGAAAAAATACACACAATCAACCAACTCGATCTCACAGATCTATATAGAACACTCCACCCAACAGCAGTCAAGTATACTTTCCTTTCCAAAGCACATGGAACATTCTCCAGAAGAGACCACATACTAGGCCACAAAGCAAGCCTTAACAGAATCCAAAACCTTGAAATATTAACAAAGCATCTTTTCTGACCATAAAGCCATAAAAGTAGAAACCAATAACAGAAAAAGCAAGGAAAAAAATCAAACCCATGGAAACTGAACAACACCTTGCTCAAAAACTACTGGGTTATAGAAGAAATCAAGGAAGGAATAAAGAAATTCATAGAACCAAATGTGAATGAAAACACATCCTACCAGAACCTTTGGGACACAGCAAAAGCAGTGCTCAGGCCTCAATTTATAGCAATAAATGCACACATTCAAAAAAAAAAGAAAGGAACAAAAATCAAAATATTAACCCTACAACTCGAACAAGTAGAAAGAGAGCAGGAAAAGAAGCCCTTGAGTGCCAGAAGAAAGGAAATAATAATTAGAGCAGAAATAAATGAAACAGAGAATGGAAAAACTGAAAGAGTCAACAAGACTAAAAGCTAGTTCTCTGAAAAGATCAACAAAATCGATAAACCACTGGCCAAACTGACAAAAGAAAAACAGGAGAGGAAGCAAATAACTCAAATATGAAATGAGATAGGTGATATCCCAACAGACCCAACTGAAATTAAAAGAATCATAACAGAATACTATGAAAAATTGTACTCCAACAAATTTGAAAGCCTAGAGGAAATGGACAAATTTCTAGAAACATACTACCTACCTAAACTAACATAAACTGAGGTAGAAAAACAAGATAAACCTATAGAAAAAGAAGAGATTGAAGAGGTAATAAAAAAAAAAAACTCCCCCCACTACCCCACTGCAAAAAAAAAAAAAAAACCCTGGCCCTGACAACTTCACTGGAGAATTCTCCCAAACCTTCAGAGAAGAGTTAACACTACTACTACTAAAGGTAATTCAGAGCATAGGAAAGGATGGAATACTCCCGAACTCCTTCTATGAAGCCAGGATAATCCTGATACCAAAAACAGGTAAAGACACCACAAAAAAAGAAAATTACAGACCAATATCCCTTATGAACACTGAAGTAAAAATTCTCAACAAAATTCTAGCCAAGAGAATTCAACAACGTGTCAAAAAAATAATTCGCCATGACCAAGTGGGATTCATATCAGGTATGCAGGGATGGTTCAGCATTAGAAAAACAATCAATGTAATCCATCACATAAATAAAACAAAAGAAAAGAACCACATGATCTTATCAACCAACGTAGAAACGGCATCTGACAAAATCCAACACCCATTCATGATAAAAACTCTCAGCAAAACAGGAATAGAAGGGAAATTCCTCAGCATAATAACGGGCATTTATACAAAGCCAACAGTCAACATCATCCTAAATGGAAAGAGTCTGAAAGCATTCCCCTTGAGAACAGGAACCGGACAAGGATGCCCTTTATCACCACTCTTATTCAGCATTGTGCTGGAGGTCCTAGCCAGAGCAATAAGGCAAAAAAAAGAAATAAAGTGCATCTAAATTGATAAGGAAGACGTAAAAGTATCCCTATCTGCAGATGATATGATCTTATACACAGAAAACCCCAAACAATCCACAAGAAAACTACTGGAACTAATAGAAGATTTCAGCAAAGTATCAGGATACAAGATAAACATAGAAAAATCAGTTGGACTCCTGTACACCAACAAAGAGAACTTTGAAAAGGAAAATCACCAAATCAATACCATTTACAATGGCCCCCAAGAAAATAAAATACTTAGGAATAAATCTAACCAGAGATGGAAAAGACTTATATAAAGAAAACTACAAGACACCAGTGCAAGAAACCAAAAGAGACCTACATAAGTAGAAAAACACATCTTGCTCATGAATAGGAAGACTCAATATTGTGAAAATGTCAATTCTACCCAAAGCAATCTACAGGTACAATGCAATCCCGATCGAAATTCCAATGACATTTTTTAACAAGATGGAGAAACAAATCACCAACTTCATACGGAAAGGGAAGAGGCCCTGGATAAGTAAAGCATTACTGAAGAAGAACAAAGTAGGAGGCCTCACACTACCTGATTTTATAACTTATTATACTGCCATGGTAGTCAAAACAGCCTGGCACTGGTACAACAACAAATACATACACTAATGGAACAGAATTGAGAATCCAGATATAAATTCATCCACCTAGGAGCAGCTGATATTTGACAAAGGCCCAAAGTCCATTAAATGGGGAAAAGATAGTCTCTTTTAACAAATGCTGCTGACATAACTGGACATCCATCTACAAAAAAATGAAACAAGCCATACCTCACACTATGTACAAAAACCAACTTAAAATGGATCAAAGACCTAAATATAAAATTTAAAAAGATAAAAAGATCATGGAAAAAAAATAGGGACAACGCCAGGAGCCCTAATACATGGCATAAACAGAATACAAACCAAACCAACAATGCACAAACACAGAAGAGAAACTGATAACTGGGAGCTCCTAAAACTCAAAACACTTATGCTCATCAAAAGACTTCACCAAAAGAATAAAAAGAGAACCTACAGACCAGGAGAAAATTTCTGGCTATGACATAATCTGATAAGGGTCTGATCTCGAAAATCTACAAAATAAATGTAACACCTCAATAACAGAAAGACAAATAACCCAATTAAAAAATGGGCAAAGGATTTGAAGAGACACTTCATCAAAGAAGACATTCAGGAGGCTAAGAGATACATGAGAAAATACTCATGATCATTAGTCATTAGAGAAATGTAAATCAAAACTACAATGAGATACCATCTCACCCCAACAAGGCTAGCACCAATCCAAAAAAACACAAAATAGTAAGTGCCGGAGAGGTTGTGGAGAGACTGGAACACTTATGCACTGCTGGTGGGAATGTAAAATGGTACAACCACTTTGAAAATCGATTTGGGACTTCCTTAAAAAGCTAGAAATAGAAGCACCATACGATCCGGCAATCTCACTCCTTGGAATATGTCCTAGAGAAATAAAAGCTGCCACACGAATAGATACTTGCAGACCCACAACAGCAAAAAGATGGACACAACCCAGGTGCCCATCAACAGACGAATGGATAAACAAATTATGGTACATACACAAAACAGAATATTATGCAACAATAAAGAACAATGGCGAATCCACGAAACATCTCACATCATGGAATAATCTGGAAGGCATTATGCTGAGTGAAATTAGTCAGTCGCAAAAGGACAGATATTGTACGAGACCACTATTATAAGAAGTCAAGAAAAGGTTGAAACACAAAAGAAAACATTCTTTGATGGTTACAAGGGTGGGAAGAATGGAAAGGGGAATTCACTAAGTAGATAGTAGACAAGAACTATCTTAGGTGAAGGGAAGGACAACTCACAATATGGGGGAAGTGAGCATAATTGGACTAAACCGAAAGCTAAGAAGTTTCCTAAACATAACCAAACACTTTGAGGGACAGAGTAACAGGGGCTGGGGTCTGGGGACCATGGTTTCGAGGGACATCTAGGTCAGCTGACATAAAAAAGTTTATTAAGAAAATGTTCTGCATCCCACTTTGGTAAGTGGTGTCTGGGGTCTTAAAAGCTTGCAAGCGGCCATCTAAGATGCATCAATTGGTCCCAACCCACTTGGAGCAAAGGAGAATGAAGAACACTAAAGACACAAGGAAAATATTAGGCCAAGAGACAAAAGGGCCACATAAACTAGTGACTCCATCAGCCTGAGACCAGAAGAACTAGATGGTGCCCAGCTACCACCAATGTCCGCCCTGACAGGGAACACAACAGAGGGTCCCTGACGGTGTAGGAGAAACGTGGGGTGCAGAACTCAAATTCTAGTAAAAAGACCAGACTTAATGGTCGGACTGAGACTGGAGGAACCCTCGAAGCCATGGATCCCAGACACTCTGTTAACCCAGAACTAAAATCATTCCCAAAGCCAACTAGACAAAGATGAGACTGGACTATAAAACAAAATACTCATGAAGAGTGTGCTTCTTAGTTCAAGCAGATACACGAGACCAAACGGGCGGTTCCTGTCCAGAGGCAGGATGAGAAGGCAGGAAGGGGCAGAAGCTGGTTGGATGGACATGGGGAATCCAGGGTGGCAAGGGGGAGTGTGCTGTCACATTATAGGGATTGCAACTAGTGTTACATAACAATGTGTGGATAAATTTTTGTGTGAGAAATTAACTTCAGCTGTAAACTTTCACCTAAAGCACAATAAAAAAATAAAAGAAAAAATACAGCATTCTGAAAAGGTTTCAGTCAAACATTCAAAACCACACTTGGGGGTATGTCACCCCACTGATGGGCTGAGCTGGTCAGGAGGGTCTACTATCTATAGAAAAGGAGCTTCACCACATCCTTGCTGTGTGGGTCTCTCCCAAACAAGCTATGAGGTTAATTGACAAGCACTATCTTTCCAGATACAGCAGGACT